ATATATATACACTCTTACGTTTTAAATCTGCTTGCGCACTTGATTAAAAGTGAGCTCCTCTGTTTGTGATTATTTCTAAGTACAATATTATGACATTATGATTCTAGTAGTCTCACAAAGATTGGAGGCTACTGAACTGTAGGCAAAAGCTGAGTCCAGAATAAGAGTCCCTGTAGTCGCACACTTTCGGCTGGCCGCCTTACTAGATCTAGATTCTATATATATGAAAGATTTTATTATAAGGATAATAAGGAACGCAAAAGTGGCATAAAAATCATGTTCTTTTTGTGGAACAAAGTATTGCAATGCAAAAACAAGAATACCGAAATCATTTAGATCTAGAATCTAGATCTAGAATCTATGTTGTACATGTAGATCTAGGCCTATTAACAAATTCTTTGTCCTACCTTATTTTTGTTATAACAGACAGTCTTTCCTCTCATAAAGAGTTGATTAGGCAGGCGTAATAAAGCAAAATCCTCACGTGTGGGCCAGAGCAGACAGAGGTCATAGGTCAGTGTTTCTATCCCATCAACGCGACCTGAAGAGTTAGCATAATGCTAATATTCTGAACCGCCAATCACAATTCACAATAAATAAATCCGTCCGTGAATTTAATGTACTCCTTGGAATAATTATAATAAAAGCCTGTTGATTTATAAAATTTAAAAAAACGTTGCAATCTCAGTATCAGTACTGAACAATGAAATATGAACACAACATCGGAACACAATACAAAACGGCGAGTGAAGCCAGAGGATAAATTGTTGTGAAGCTGAATCCACTACACCCCACCGCGAGGCGACACGGAACACACCACACACACACACATACACACGCACCACGCGAGCCGTCGAGCGAGTGGGGGGGAGAAAGAGACGACAAGACACTCAGAAGGGGCGGGCGCTTGAAGACCTGGTTCACCGACCGTCAGTTTCTCTGCTGAAAAAGCGCGCGCATTAATTTGCAAGCCCTGACTATGCGCGCAAGCAGCCAATGGGAAAAGACGCTCAGTCTCATGAAGCATGCGTGCGCTTATCGCCCCTCTTTATCACTGATTTTATCTTATCTGTTTCTCCAATCTTCTTTATATTCATCTCGCAGGCCTCTCTCATCAGATCAGAGACCTTTCTTTGCCAAGCTATTTCCTTAGATTATTATTACTCATACTTAAACTATGCCGTCTTACCTTCTTGGGGGTGACGTAAACACTCGGATCATGACAATATAAGGATCAATAACCGTTTTATCTCAGGGTTTTAGGTTTTCTTTGTCATCATACATTAATAGTGAGGCAGATTAGAGCCCTGCAGGCGGGGTCGTATAACCAATTCCCACACTTAATCTCAGATGCCAACAGCCCCCCCCCCTCTCTCTCTCTAGCTTAGGGCGTTAACGTTTCAATTAAATGAAGAGCTGAAAAAAAATCGTATTCCTCGCTGCACTCAGTGGTTAAGTAAAAAAGTAAAACACCATTTGGAAATGGTTACTCGCATATCTGAGAAGGTTGTTGGGGATGGGGAGGAAGGGGAATTTAATCAGGACCTATGCAAGATAATATATCTAACAAGCTAGATAATTCTGGCTGATTATTAGTTCCTTGCCTGATTACAAACCAGTGCAAGATAGAAAGATGATAATACATTGCTCTGTATCGATTTTAGAAAAAAGAGAGGTTGTTGAGGAGAGGTTGTTTGGTCTTGTGCCTCTTTTGATTTTCTTTTTTTTTTTTTTTTTGG